CTCTCTCCCTCTCTCCCCCCATCCCCACCCCCCCACGCGGTGGCATCTTCCCAGGAAGGAAAAGTGGTTCATTACTGATCACCGGCTTTATCTGAATCTTTTAGAATAGCTACAGCCCATGGCCCAAAATGGGGCACCAGAGTGTTTTCCTGAGAGTTTTTTTTTTTTTCTTTCGCTGTAGCTTCTTAAATATCTAGGATTCCAAGTGAGACCGATGCACAACTTGACGGAGAATTTTTATGTTTGTTTGATTCATTTGGTTGGTTGTTTGGGGTTTTTGTTAAACAGTCCAGGTTGGCCTCAAATTTACTATGTATCCCAGAGGGACTTTGAACTCCTTGACACCCCCCCTCCATTTCCCAAGTGCTTAGGCTACAGGCATTTGCCACAGCACCAGGCTTACCCTGATAGTTTTGAGATCCCTGTAGGCTCAAACTGAGCGCTCTCTGCTCTCTCTCTCTCTCTCTCTCTCTCTCTCTCTCTCTCTCTCTCTTTAATAAAAGAAAAAAAAAAAAAAAAGGAAAAAGAAAAGAAAAAAAGAGCTCTCTCAAGTGGACCCTCCCCCACCCCACCTATCTGAAGCCAAATTCCCTCTTTGCCTAAATAAATTGGTAGTGGTTTTTGAGGAAAAGGATTCTGAAAAACACAAAGCAGATCCCAGAAGAGTTTCTTCTGAAGCCCTGCACGGCACGTGGCTCTGCTCGTACAAATTCGGTGGGGAGAGCAGGTGATCCGAGTTGTCTGTACCCACCCACGCAAGGAGATGAAGCAGCCCTCTGATGTGTTTGACCCCTAGAAGTCTCCTTTCACCCAGCGACGAGCATGCTTCCCCTAGGCCAGACATCCTCTCTCACTTACGGGGTCAGATACGACTCATGGATGGATGGACCCCTGAATTCCCCCGGCTTTCACCCTGCAGACTCAGGTACCTGCTTCGCTACTGTCCCGGAGAGTCCCCTCCAACACTGGCAAGGAACTGGTTTGGCTGTCTCACTCCCCTCTTCGATCTCTTCCTCTCCTGGCTTTTCCTCACGCCACCCCCCAAATGCTTTCTTAAATCTTGACAGAAATACCCATTTTTGCCACTCTCCCTCTTTGACCGTTTTTTGCATCTTGTCAGATACCTAAAGCCAGAGTGGTGGTTTGAATGAGAAATGCGCCCCACCTCCCCACCGCTCCACCTCCCGCCGGTAGTTTCCTGTATTTGAACACTTGGTCCCCACTTGGTAGTCCGTTTTGTGATGGTTATGTAACTTTTAGGCTGTGGCACCTTGATACAGGAAGTATGCCGCTGGGGATGGGATTTGGAAGTTTATACCCTGGGCCACCTAGTGAGAGCCTATCTGACAAACAGGACAAAAAAAAAAAAAATTGCTAGGTTGGGGTTTGATTACATGACAAGGCACTTTTTTTTTTTTTTTTAAGCGTCAGTGAACCTAGCCCTGGATTCCACCCCTCCACACCACAAAACAAACAAAAGAACAAAATACACAACCGAACTGAAAAGAAGCCAAGGTCCACAGATCGGACCGGACGATTGCTGAAGCAGTGGGAATAAAAGTCGGAATGAATGAGTCCCAGAGAGCGGAGAGCACAGTCTTCAAGCGTGTTGACATCGGTCTGTGGAAACAGCATGCTGGCAGGGAGCCTTTGAGAATGACTATGCAAAATCAGGAGTGAAAACAGCTGGCCCAGGAAAAAGGAGACCAGGTCTATAGTACACTAATATTGATTTTGGGGGTGTGGGGCAGGGAGTGGGGCTCAGGGATAGAACACACGTTTGGCTTGGGAAAGGGACTGGATTCACAGCGCACATGTGTTGAAAGCAAACACAAAAGAGATCAGAGAACATCTCTTCCTGGAGACTGTAGCAGCACCATCTCAGTCCTCTGGAGAGCATAGGGATTCGGGGGCTGAGGGGGGCATCAACTGTTAAAAATGAGGACATAGGAACAGAAATGAACCTCAAGAATATCAGCCAATCTGGGGTGGGAGAGATGGCTCAGTGGTTAAGAGCACTGACTGCTCTTCCAGAGGTCCTGAGTTCAATTCCCAGCAACCACATGGTGGCTCACAGCCATCCATAAAGGGATTTGATGCCCTCTCCTGGTGTGTCTGACAGCTACTGTGTACTCATATACATAAAATAAATGTAAAAAAAGAAAAAAGTGAGCTCTAGAAAAAGAAAGAAAGAAAGAAAGAAAGAAAGAAAGAAAGAAAGAAAGAAAAAAGAGAAAAGAAAGAAAGAAAACCACCATGTACACATCTGGGCTTCATGATCATCAGAGCATAGCTTTTATATTCCTGCCACAGAAACTGGCTTCTGGGCTAGAGAATGAGGCAAACTTACAAGAAACCTAGAAGGAATGCACACAGTAAGGTCTCTGTTCATGATGATATGGTGGTTGGGGATAAAAGAAAATACCTCGGTATGCTGGTGGGCTCTCCCCTACTCTTGAGACTTGAGAGGGCTGGGGCATGTGACTCCGCAGGAGAGTACATGCCAAATGAAGCCGAAAGCCATACAAATCTGAAAGGCCACACTATGAACAATTGAATGGAATCATCTCAGGTCACCCTGACACACCCACACCCTCGTTCTAAGTATATGAGAATGTCTATGAACTGGAGAGAGGCTGGCTTATACATTTGGATGAGAAGGGAGGGAAGGGGAGGGAGGAGAGGGAAGAGGTGGGAGGGGAGTGGTGGGGGAAGGCAGGGCAGGGCTTCATGAGGCCCTGAAAGCTTTCAGCAGCTCTGCCTAATAGCAGCCTTGACAGAGCAGTTTTTCCTGAGTGAATGCCGTGGAGATAGCTCTGTGAGAGTGGCTCAGACTAGGTTTCAGTATCTGGGGACTTAGGCTGGCGAGATGACTCAGCGGTTAAGAGCACTGGTTGCTCTTCCAGAGGTCCTGAGTTCAATTCCCAGCAACCACAGGGTGGTTCACGACCATCTGTAATAAAATCTGGTGCCCTCTGCTGGTGTGGAGGCACATGTGTAGGCAGAACACTACATTATTATTGACTTTCTTTTTTTTTTTTTTTAAGATTTATTTATTTATTATATATGAATACACTGTAGCTGTCTTCAGACACAGCAGAAGAGGGCATCAGATCTCATTACAGATGGTTGTGAGCCACCATGTGGTTGCTGGGATTTGAACTCAGGACCTCTGGAAGTGCAGTCAGTGCTCTTAACCACTGAGCCATCTCTCCAGCCCTATTATTGACTTTCAATGTGAGTTCTAGGGACTTAACTCAGGTTGTCAGGCCTGGGAAACACTTTGACCATGGAGCCATCTTGCCAGTCTGGTTTTTAGGTCCTTTGATGTTACTGTTCTTGTTATATGACAGGAATGTTCTATGTAGCCTAAGGTTGGCCACAAACGACCACCATGTATGTTCCAGGGATCAAATTCAGGTCATCGGGCTTGGTGGCAATTGCCCTTACCTGCTAAGTTCTTGGAGGCCCTCACCTTATATTTAAGGCAGAGACACTCACTGAACCTGGAGCTCACTGATTGAGTAGAAATGGTGACCCATCCCAGGGATTCACCTGGCTCATATCGAAACCCAAGATCTCACAATTTGGCAGTATTTATCAAGTAAGCCATCCCCAGTTATGGTTTTCCTTTATATTTTGAGGTTTATTGAAATAAAGTATTAGCAGACAATACTCAAAGACAACTTCTTGCTGGGCAGTGGTGGCGCACGCCTTTAATCCCAGCACTCAAAAGGCAGAGGCAGGCTAATCTCCGAGTCTGAAGACCTCCGCAGAGGGGAGACCCTCTCTCAAGTCTCAGAAAGTCGCGACCACCCAGTAATCTGCTCGAGACACCATGTACCGGAGCAATTGCGAGGTTATTTATTAGGGCGTGACAACTAGCTGCCGGTCAATTCGTATGCCCACGCAGGAGCTGAATTGACCCCGACAGCCAGTTTGAACGGGGTTTTTAAAGGAAAAAACCACAAACCAAGGAATCTTTCTCAAGAATGTGGCCCTGCCCTGTTACTCAAGAATGATGGCCCTGCCCCATCACCATGATTCTCAGCTTGGTTCCACCTGGCCAAATTGCATTCCAGCTAGTTCCTGCAACTAGTCCGTCCACATTTCCAACCTGCTTCATGCCTCCATGTCTTTGTAAAGAAAGCCTAAAGAATATTTTATGTCTAAAAAGGATTCTATATACCCAGTATCCATAACTTTTCCCTCTACATTCCCCCATTTTTTTCTAATGATAGTTTTTAATCATAAAAACTTAACTCCACTTTTTCTAATGTAAATCTGATTACAGATCTTGCATTTCAGTATCTTCATAGCTTCCGTTTCTCTGTCTGAGGGTTTGATATTGATGGCATAGCAATAAAAGCTGAACAGCACTAAATCTCTAACAAAGGTAACTAATCTGTTTAAGAAGCAAAAAACAGAATCAAAAGAGGACCAGGGAAAATATCAGAGTGGTAATGTCTAATTCCTGAAGCATGTCCTGAAAGGCTGCCTCGTGGTTGTGCTGCACTCCATTGGCCACACACCGCGGGGTCTCTAGTGTCCTCTGGAATGCTGCACCAGCCTCACCCAGAGGCTTCAAGTCCTTGGAACTGGTCGCCTGCTCCCACAGGTATAGCTCGTTTCTCCACAGGCCAAACATGGTCGGACATCGCAGGCAGCTTGGTGGTGTTGAACTAGAACCGCGTCTCTCAACTGGTGTGGCAGGCACACTTGGGTCTCTAGTCTCGTAGGCCCCTTTCAGCTGTTCTCACACCTCGCGTCAGACCATTTTAAGTGCTTCCACCACGGAACTGCTGCCATCTGTATACCAGTTCAGACTTCCTGGCCAGGGCTGGTCCTTCAGGTCGCTCCGAGTACCTGTTTCTTCTGCCAGGATATCAACACAGTGATGGACTGGAGAAGAGTCGTCAGTCACAGGCAGCAAGGTGGCAGGATTCAAGATGGCCGGGGGTGCAAAGATCACCCTTTCAGTCAACAACAGGCTCTGATAGTGCATCATGCGAGTATTAGGCATCCATCATTCAGGGGGCTGCCGGAAAGTTGATGCTGCCAAAAGTCCTCTCTGGGGGGGGAGCGAACTGAGGAGGTTAAGTGTCTTGTATTCTCTTATTGACTTTTCTTAGACCTTGTATTGGCTTGTAATCATTAGTGCCTGGCTTCTTTGGTTTCAACCCAAATTTTTGGGAATTCTGCTAGCCATTCACTGATATCTGGGGCTTCCACCTTTGTCACCCAGGTTCTCTGTCTGTCTAAGTCCTATCCTATCTCTTGTCTTTCTCCCCTGCACTGCGGCCAAAATCCTTCTTGCCTGCAATCTCACCTGCCTTTTCTCTCTTTTCTCTCTTACACTTTCTCTGCCTCCTTAACTAAATCTTCCAGTAACCTCTCAAGAAACACAGACAGTGGCTCG